CCAGCCTGCTGAAGTCCAGAAGGGACCCAGAAGTGAACTCTGCCAAAGGAAACACTAAAAATATTCCCAGGTACTTTAACTGGAGACTTTGTCCCCATTTCAAAGGCCACAGGAGAGGAACAGGCAGGAGCAGGGGATGTGGTAGATGTCAGGGACAGCCTTCCCGTGTCAGACACACGGATGTGCCTTCCCCCAGCTCCAGCTGTGAGCGAGAGCATGCTGGCAGACCCGCCCCGCCACTGTGGCAAAACGCTCCGCCACCTCTCCCAGCAAAAAGTTGCCCCAGAAAAGTCATCTATAGGGCCATGCTGGACCAAAACGTGTGCCTCCCTCTAAGTAAGCTCCTCCCGGCAGTGCTGCTGCAGTCAGGGGCGGGTGAGTGAAACCCAGAACCTTTCCCCAAACCCAGAGAAGGTGCCAGCACAGGAGACGGCAAACTGCCCGGGGTGGCCTCTCACTTGAGCATGGCCCAGCCTGACACCCACCAGGGCAGAAAATACTCTGGAGAAGCAAAAGCTACTACAGCTCAGAGAGGAGCCACAGGAACCACTACTGTGAGCACTTGGTTTTGATAAGAAAAATTGCTGTTACGGTCTCAGATAAGATCACCTCGAGAGGAAGCAGAGCACTTGCTGCAAAGCCCCTTTCTTTCAACTCCAAGCCTCCTCTTGTTCCTCTCGCTCCCACAAGAGATCAATTACCGAAAAGGGCAGAGCAGCTGCCTGCCTTTTCCTTTGGCACAGAAAGACATAGCGCTGTTTTCCCTTTCGATTTCAGTTTAATTAACCAAGCCAAGCCTCTCACTGTCCATCTCACTGTGAACCCTGCCTGCTGACACCGCGCTTTCTGCCTGGCCCGGGAGCCTTGGCACACGCAGAAGGGCACGGCTGCTGCAGCAACCTGTGCGGGCCGGATGGCTGGAGGGCCAGCTGGTGCAAAGCCCCCCGCAGCTCACTCCAGAGCTGGGGGGAAGCCACCGTGGGCGGCTGCGCTAAGAGGCTGGCGAGAGCATCCCTGCTAGGGTTGGGCAGCATCTGCCTGCCCAGGGCACTAGTTATGGGACCCCACCAAGGGTCGGATGCTGAGCTACTTGAGAAGTCGGAGATGGAAAGAACCTGTTGAAGCTGCTAAAGGGTCTGGAGCACAGGTCTTATGAGGAGCAGCTGAGGGAACTGGGGTTGTTCAGCCTAGAGAAGAGGAGGCTGGGGGGAGCCCTTAGCGCTCTCTACAACTACCTGAAAGGAGGCTGTAGTGAGGTGGGGGTTGGGCTCTTCTCCCAAGTAGCTAGTGATAGGATGAGAGGAAATGGGCTCAAGCTGCACCAGGGGAGGCTTAGATTGGATATTAGGAGTAATTTCTTTACTGAAAGAGTGGTCTAGCGTTGGAACAGGCTGCCCAGAGCGGTGGGCGAGG